CTTACATTATAATAACATTATAAAACCTACAGTATATAACATACTGCATATTTCTGCAGTATTGCTCATAAGTCCAATCTCACATTTGTAGAGGCTTCGCAGCTTTCATAGGATTTTCTTTGATTGCTTCTCAATCCTATGTCGAATTTTTTTTGAAATGTACTTACAGATAGGAAAGTGGAATAGAAACTGTTCGGTCATCTTGACCAACCACGCTGTCAAAAATAAATACTCAAATTTCACGTAACTTCCTTTGTTTTCACAAAACTGTTTCCTAGTGTCAAAGCTGAGCGAATATTTTATCTAAGTGACTAAATAACTATCGTCACTTCTTTGAGGAACAAATTTCAACAAAAAAAAAATTTCATCTTTTTATTTTTTAAAAAAAAGTACCATGAGGGACTGGTGATGCTTTATGGAATCTAACTGGCGACTTTGTTGATCACTTTTTCGTGGATCAACGTTTCCCCAACAATACAAAAAGGACAGATAAAACTGAGAGATAAACTGCGTCCATGCCCGAAAAGGGATTCGAACCCGGGATCTTCCAGGTAAGAGGCCTACTACATACACACCTACTACCGCAGCAATACAGGACAGTCGGCTAATTTCTCGATTCTAATTTCGATCCTCCAGTCTTCATTCTAGTTTCGTCATTCTAGTTAACAATCTTCCAGAATGCACTGCGATGAGGCTCCGAGATGATGAGATATTTTCGTCATATATTTGATAGTATGCGTTTCGTCACGAATCATGTGATTTTGTGAAGAAATGGTTTTAAAAATGAAATAAATGCAGCTCAAGAAATGCTGGATCGTCAAATGTAAGATCTTTATTTCTGAGAGTGCATCTTAAATTATTTCTGCGCGGAATAATTTCGCTTAGTAAATAATATGCTCAAGGAATTTCGTGAATTCGTAATCGAAAATGTTTAAAATATATTATTGTAACAGAATATTGTATTAGTTCCTTAAAGCATTCCACCAGAACAGAGTACGACCCTTCTTAGAGATTCTTTATCAACATAAATCATTTATTGAATTCACGGCCTATCATTCTAATTACGATTTTAAGCAATTAAAAGCATTTGCCTTAAATTTATAACAGTTTTAATCGTAACATTTTACGCATTTTGATTTATATTTTGATTTATATTTAATTCATAAAAAGAGATAAAAGAATTATTTAGTCAAATATTTAGTTTAAACACAAACATTTTAGTCAAAATATACCATGTTGTTAAAACTTTTGTTTATAAATTTCATTATTTATTTACAAATATAAATCATACTTACGTATAGAGAAGAGATAACGCATTAAATATGTTTTTTAAGAATACTATTTGCAGATTTTACCACGTCATTATGATCAAAAGAGTCAGAATCTTCTGCCTTCATCTCCAAAAGTAATCTCAATGATAATTTAATGAGATTTTTTGAAAATTATATCGCTAAAAAAAATTAAAATATAAGATTTTGAAGTGCATACATTTTAAACGAAATATATCATCATGCATAATGTTATATCCATAAGTTACATAATTTGACCATTAGTACATTAGGAGAACACATTTGTAATCTTTTTATAAAATTATAATTTTTATAATATAATTTTTAAGCATTCAAAAGTCAGGAATGACTGAACTTATAACTAACAATGGTTTTACAGTTAATGGATCAATTACGAGATTAATTGGAATTAATTGAGTAGTAGTAGTTAATTTGCGTCGCACTAGAGCTGCACAATGGGCTATTGGTGACTGTCTGGGAAACATCCCTGAGGATGATCCGAAGACAAGCCATCACAATTTTGATCCTCTGAAGAGGGGATGGTACCCCCCCTTCAGTAGCCCGACGACCTGTACACGAAGTCGAGCACTTCACAGTAGAACAGTTTAACGAGGACCAATACCGCACACCCTTGGTCCCTACGCAGACTGATCCAAGTGGTCACCCACCCGCAAACTGACCGCAGCCAGTGATGCTTGACTTCGGTGATCTCCTGGGTACTGTGTCTTAACGATAAGTCCACTGCGGGACTAGAATTAATTGAAAATTCACTGATATTAATTGGAAATTAAACTCTTTTTAAGAATGCGATAAGTAATTCCGCGATATACAAGCATTTTAGCCTAGCCATATAGATATGAAATCATCATAATTGATTTTGTAAGTATAAATTTAATCATTTACCCTTTAATAATAAAAGATTTATACATAGATAGAAGAGAATCCATTAGTTATTTTTCATAATTATTAATACAGGTTTTAATCGTGTCATTTTTGATTAGTTAAAGTTAGAATCCTCTGCATGTACCTTTAAAAGTAGTTTCGTTAATCTATTGAGAATATCTAAAAACTAAATTTAAAAAAAATTAATTTAAAAAATCAGTTAGTTTGAACAAGAGTTGAAATGTTTTGACAGATTCATCGATGAATAAAATTTTCATTTAATAATAGTAAAAATAAAGTTAAAAATACAAGGAAAAACATTAAAAACAAATGATTAAATGAGTGACAGAATTATTATAGGATGATTCCACTAATCCAGGAATATCATGTTTACAAATTGTAAAAGAATATTAACTCAGTAAAAAAAAAGTAATTAGCGCTTATTTGCAGTTATTGAGATCTAAGAGAAAAAGTTCATCATTAAAATTTCTTTAATTTTCAAAATCATTTTTTAGAAAAAATTGTGATCGCCGAAAGGCTCACCGGTTACTCATTGGCAAAATGGTTGTTGTCTAATTTTTTTCCGTCTACGTTCTTTGGCCTTAGCTTTTTCAGCCTTTGTAACTTTAGGATTTGGCATCGTTTTTTTTTTCTTGCTTCAACTCTAAAATTTGGGACCGTGTCAATAATTTTGGGACCCTCTATATTTATGATATTCTATATTGTGATATTGATGTGAATTAGTATTGAAAGCGATCCAGTTTGAACTGTTGGTTAGAATGAATACACAAGGGGGCGACCTTTGTGCTAAAATACAAACTAAGGCAAACAACGTTAAAGAGCACAAAAATATTTATAAAATACAGACAGCTGTTTTGGATGCTCAAAGGGCAACCTTCATCAGTGCAACAGGTTCGTAGGTTAGAATATCTGATTCTTAATTAACACAATAAAAACAAAAATATCATTCAAATGATGAAATTCTCTTTTATTCGCAACTCAAGAAGTAATTATGGGATCTCTCTGGTCCCATATCTCAAAATTAAACTTACCAACTTCATGCATAACAAAATTAAAGGTTAAAAAAAAAAAGAACTCTAAAGAAATCAGCCCACATCAGCGGTCGCCATAGCAAAGCATGCTTTGACGACGCATGCGCATTGTTTACTATTACTCTTGAATACAGTTGAAAAGTGTGATGACGTCCAAATAGGATGCGCACGCCATTAAACCCAAAACAACATCCATTTTTGCAATGGGTAAAAAGTTAAAAATAAGACATTGAACTACATCTATTTTAGTCGAGATATACCATCATGTTTAATTTAGTACCTGTAAGTTCTATCATTTGCCCGCTACTACATAGAGAGAACACATTTGTTATAATTTTAATAGACTCATTGTTAAAAGACCTGAGTAACTGTATTTATCTCCAACAATGTTTTTAATGTTACTTTAATAAGGTTAGTTGAAATTAAGGTATTTTAAAAATTCTACAAGACCACAATATGCACATAAAAATTTAAATCTTGTATATTTCATATTTAATTTCGTATCGGAAAGTGGTATCATTTAAAAAAGTAAAGAAAACTTTTATATGGAGAGAAGAGAGCACGTTATTAAATGAGATTATTCTGCTTTTATTAATTGGAAAGATATGATTTAAGATATATCTTAATTGTTTAAATTAAAAATTAACAACGAAAACAAACGTTTCCTCATTCTGAGATAAATTCGAATTGAATTTTGCGTACTCTTTTCGAAATATAAATCGTAGTTTTGTTCTAAAAAAAATTTTTTTTTCTATTCAGTACAAACAAAAATAAATACAAAAATAATTGCACAAACAAAAATAAAAAAAATTAACAAATCAAAATATCAATTACAGTTCATGAACTTCAATAGTTTTAATAAATAGTTTTAGTACTTTAAGGAAAAATTGTATGCGACTTTGCATGCGCGAACGGGAATATTCAGCACTTCGAAATAGCGACAATAAAATAATCATTATTATTTTTAAAAATAAATGTGATTTAAACTTATATTTTTAAGTTTTGAAATGTATTGAATAATTGAAATACATTGAAAAGTATCGGAATGAAAGGAGCGTCCTTGTTTGGTTTCTTTTTTTCCATAATTATAATAATAATTTAACAATAAATGATTTCACATATTTTAATATTCGATAATAATTTCACAATATTATTTTCATGAAAGTCTTGTAACAAATGAAAAGTTTTTGTTATTTATTTTAATGAGTACACTTGGGATTTAAAAATTATATCGATGGTTGAATAAATAAATTAATATAGTATTTTTCTCTAAATTTTTAAAAAATTATCACAGTAAAAGTCAACAATAATCGATTTATGACACTCATTGAATGATTAAACTTCGATAAGAGTTGACAATACACGACGAGTTTTACAATTAAAGTAAAACAGCATAATTGATCATGTTTTTTACTCGATCTGTAAATTTCGCGTAATTATCATACCATAAGCAATTAAAAACTATTGACAAATTAAATAATTTATAAGAATATTTCTTTAATATGTAATTTATTTATTGTTTATAGCCTTAGTTTGATCAAATCTTTACAGCATTTTAAACCATTCCACCGTTAATAGCTAAGCACTTAAGAATTTCTAAATAATTAAGATATGCTCGTTTGCATCCTTCCCGAAACTTGAGTAGACGAAGAGACATAAGTAGTGAGTATATTTCTAGTTTCCTTAGGGCGCAAATCGAGAGAGGGCGCTAGCTTTGCCCTAAAAGGGCGGCTCAATGGAATGCGAGATACTTGGGGAATCATATGGTGAACTCACTTCTTAAAGACTCTATGGTCAGTTACATGAGTTCTCCCACGTGGCGGAGTGAAATAAATCAGACTTTTCAGTAAAACGTTTATGGAAAATATTTTTGTTTTTCCATTAAAGCGATGGAGATTAATTTTTACCTCATTATTTCGTCCATGTTTTTGCTAATTTTCACTCTAATTAATAATTACAATGCTTATAACAAAATCAGCAACAGGCGTTCTTTGCATCAAGGATACTTGAATAAATTGCATAAAAATGACGTGAGAAACTTAAAAAATCGGCAGTGGTATGGCGAAAAAAGGCACTCACAAGTATTAAAGAAAGCTTTGAGTTTATTTCGGAAAAGGAGAGTAATTGGCGATTTTAACCATACTTGGCCGATTAAGAGAGTAGCTGAAATAGAGGGAGATATAATTCTTGGCGGTCTTATGATGATACATGAAAGAGAAGATCGTAGAATATGCGGGCCAATAATGCCACAAGGAGGTATACAAGCTTTGGAATGCATGTTGTATACCATGGATTGGATAAACAATAAAAAAGACTTTTTGCCCGGTATCAAACTGGGTGCGTATGTATTGGATGATTGTGATAAGGACACTTATGGATTAGAACAGGCAGTTGATTTTATAAAAGGTAAGTTTGTTTCATGTAATAAATTTTCAATACATTTCTTAAACAATATTAGTTTTTTCTTAAAAGCTCCGCACTTTGTTTTCCGTGAAAGATAAAATATTAAACAATACGCAGTTTGTTCTGATTTAAAAAAGATATGAATAATTTTTAAAAAAAATATAGATTTAAAAAATATATGAATTATTTAAAAAAATATATATATATATTTAAAAAATATATGAATTATTTCTTAAAAAAAATATAGATTTAAAAATACAGATTTAAAAAATATTCGAATTAATTTTAAAATAAATATCAGGGCATGGGGCAAGCTGACAATTATTAGGTGGTTATTTCTTTTTTGAGATATTAAATAAAGGTAGGATTAAATATGGGAATGGACAAAAAGTTTTGTTTTGATAAAAAAAAGAAGAAAAAAAAAACTGTCCAATTATTCTTTGTTTTCTTTCCTCGATTGATATATTTTACTTAATCATCATATTAGTGGTAACCAATCAGAAATAAATATTAAATAAGTAGCATGAAAATTCTTACTCAAACATAGATTCGGTTTTATTAGCGGTATAATTTTTTAAATTATTATACCGGTAATAAAAGTAAACCTTTAAAACATTTTTCGACTAATCATATAATAGTTAGGAGCTAGAGAATTTTTAAGTAAGTAAAATTTAACCATGTTTATCATTGCTTAAAATTAAATTATAATAATAAACCAAAAGTAGGATGGTGTATGTATGTGCAACGTAGACTAAAGGAAAACACGACGTAAACAAAGTGCAAATTAAAGTACAGAAAATATGTTTTCCGTACTTTTATTTATGCATTATTCGAGTTGGTTTTTTGCCTAGTATAGTAACAATGTTACTGATTTGCTTAAAATTTTTTCAAAGGAAAAGAAGGAAGAAAACGCTATTGTATATGTAGGAAACCGGAGTAAAATTTGAATGAAGAAAACCGAAAACTATACATAAATAGAACGAATCCATTATTAATGATGAAGTAAGTTCGATACTCAGAGAAAACTCGCAGGCATTAATAACAGCCAACTTAATATTCTTCTTTCAGTTTATTTCGGCTGTAACCAAAAAAGATATTAAAATTTTCCTTTCCTCTTCATCTTTGGTGAATAGTATTAAGGTCATGATATTTCTTTCTTGTATTTTTCCTCGTTTACATATCAATTTAAAAATCTTACATTGCAGAGTTTTCATTTCTTTTTTGACAAAAAAAGTTTGTATTAAAGTGGTGATGTTATACCAAAACAATTTACTGTTAGTTTGTAAATATTGGTTAAGAAATTTCACATAAGAAATCAAGGGTGTAATTAAAGTTCATTTAATTACTTACTATTTACTGATATCAATTATAGAAAAATATCTTAGCTGTCTGCTACGTTAACCACAGTTGAAATAGATGGTAGTTTAATAGATATTAAAAATCTTGTTAAATGCTAATAAATTTTACACCACGTGAAAGATGTAACTTTTCAAAAAGTATCTTTCAATAAAATGTTTTTTCTTTACAGATGTTCCAAATATAGTCCTTAATTTTTAAGTAAGCTTACATATGCAAGGGGCTTTATTTCTGTTCATATATATATATNTATATATATATATATTCAGTTAGAGGCACCAGTTGCGCCAATTACTTTGGAGATTTTTACAGTCTTCGAATTAAGAACTGATATTTGTGTGATGATCATAAATGATCAAATTTAAAAAAATTATCATGATCATAAAAATATTAATTTCATTATTATTTATTTTCAACAATTGCAATTAATTGATTTTTCTAATGAATTACCATTAAAAAGATTCGTAATAAAAAGCTAAATTTAGGGAAAAAGGGTACTTATTCGTGCATATAAGCCTTGAAAAATTGCACTATTGCTATTGACGCCAATGTTGCTTGATTAATTCTGGTTGCTTGATTAATTCGTACTCAAATGCTAAATTAACAGAGATATTCATCTAAAAAATTTGTAAAAAAAAACACTATTATTTATGGTGCTAATTATGCTTGATTAATTTTAGTAATGGGTACTACTACTATTATGTTATATAGTAGGTGTTTTTACTAGGTATACTAATATTGGAACCAAGATAACTATAGGTTCAGTGAAAATTTGATTTTACGCACAGCGAAAGATCTAAGCACCGGAGAAAGTTGTAGATTATAGTAAATATTGACTATCAGAATTCACCTTCCATGAAAACGGGAGTTCGAATCCACTGGTGCACGTCAAATATGTCAGATCACAGAGTCCTTCACGCTCCAGTGAAAAATTATACCTCTGCGAGTATTGAGTTGGTTTACTGATCGTTTTCTAATCTTTACTTTGTAAACAATTAAAAATTATTTTAACATAATTTCTTAGTAATCACCACACATAATTAATAATTTCTTGGTAAATTACCAGGCAGGGTTGTATTGTCTGACGAGATCTTTTACACGGTCATATTTAAGCAAAAAGAATATTACCACTGACATTTTTCCTAATCAGATAATTAATTGCTAAAATAAAAGCCTTTTAAGTTAATTGTGTTTTATTAAAAAAAAACGATTGTTAGATTATTGTTATATTTCTATAAATAAAAAGTTTCTTTAAAAAATTCATGCGTTGTCTCCTCTGTGATTTACACAACTTGATCTAACATATACTTGATCAAAAAAAGCTTTGTAATTGTATGAAATTACTAGATACAGTATGTAATAGTTCCCATATTTTATAATTTCCAGGCATTTTATACAATGCCGGCATTTCTTACATTGTCGGCAACAGATAACAGATACATGTCAGGGTGATGCAAAGAAAAAAAAACTCGACACACAATTTTTAATCTAACTTATTTAAAAATAAATTAATTAAAGATAAATTAATTAAAAATAAATTAAACAAAAATAAATTAAATAAAAATAAATTAAATAAAAATAAATTAAATAAAAATAAACTAAATAAAAATGAATTAAATAAAAATAAATTAAAAATAAATTAATTTAAAATATAACAGATAATAATAAAAGTAGACTTTTACTAACAAATAAAATTAGTTGGTTCGAAAGACGTCATCTTTCATAGAGATGCAGAAGCGCAAATGCAAATGTTGTTTGAAATTTTTTCTAATGAGCTTTAAGTCTTCTGCTATCCCATTTCCGCCTCTTTAGAGAGCCCTAACTTTTGTGTACAACGATTGTGTAAAGAGCAGACGAACGATTACACACTATCGTTTCCCTTGCTTAAACAACTCTTAAATAGCAGATCATAAATAAACATTTACGCGGAAAAAACACTAAAAGAGGAAATAAAACATTAAATAAAAATACCCGAACTACAATAATAAGTAATAGAGAACAAAATTACTATATACATATTTACATTAAGTATTTAAAATAAATGTGTTACCTATGAAACTATTAAACTATCTGTAGACTTATAGGTATACTATAAAATATTTTCTAACTAAAGTGGTAGACAAAACGAAATGAACACACAAATTAAAAAGAAATTAGATAATTTCTATGATTCAATATTTTTGTCTGAGTTTTTTCGCCTCTCCCTGTTAAGAAAAATTATCATTTCGGTAGATTATTTTAAACAATACTTTAGAGAATCATGGAAAATTTTATTTAATACTAAAGTTACATTAAATGCAGAAAATTTACGCTGTCACCAATAAAAATATACATTTATTTATTTATTTAAAGACTAGCCGCCTAAGGCGGCCAGCTGTCCGCCACGCTGAAGGTTTTCACAAATAAAGTTTTTTAAAACATAGCAGGAAATCTGAAGATTAGTGGACAATTAAAGTGTTCCTGTCCTGCAATTTTGTCTTCATATCCAGTTCTGCTGCAGATGTGTTATAGCTCTTGAGGATGTTTGAAATTATATAGCTACAACGCTTAAGAAAAAAAAAACTAAAATGCTAAATACATGAAAAGAACACGAAAACGAATAAATTTTTTATGGTATCAATTTCTATTTCTATATAATTTTTTATGGTATCAAATTCTATTTCTATATCTGTTACGTCAAGCACTCAGGTATTATAATTTGATCTAGTTGTGCTTGTATAATTTTGATCTAGTTGCGCTTTCTACGTCATTTTGTTAACATCGTTTGGTTTGTTATTTAACATCGTTTGGTTTGTTATTTCTAAGTTAACTTTCAAAAAATTGGCTGGCATCAGCATTTTTATTCTTTAAGTTGTTTATTTTTTCTTTTGGAATTCGTTCCTTTTTAGCGAAATGTTTTTCAACCTAATCGAATTCTTTGCCGACTGTTCTCTGTATATATAAAGAAAATAAAGTAAATATTTTTAAAGTGTTGTGAAAAGAATTTTTAGTTGTACAAAGTACTACAATATCGCTATAAAAATTATCGTCTTCGCTTAAGAAAAAAAAAATAGAGCGTGGAAAGAAGAAGAAAAACTTATTATAACAATTATGAACAGCGACAAATATATCAAAGCGAAGCGTTCTATTTACGTATCGAATATGTTGCCACATTTTTAATACAAAAGTTAAACTTTTCTCCACTTTAATAAATGTAAACTAATGCGAACTTTACAATTAAATTATTAATTCCTTCGTATATTATTGGTTTAAGTTGTCGAAAATTAATATTTCAATTGTGAGGTTCGCATTAGCATACATTTATAAGAGTGGGGAAAAGTATATGCATTTTTTAATAGTTTTTTGAATATGGCTCTTTGAAGACGAAAATGCATAGATTTTTTTGCAAAATGACTGATAACTAAAAAACTAATCCAAATTTTTGAAAAAGAAAAAAAAATACTTCTTCATTATGTCAAAACACAATTATGTGCCCAGTTTCGTGCCTGGGTGAGGCTTCTGGGGCGATATATTGTGATTACAGACACACACATAGCCGCGTTTATTATTATGTATAGATACCATGGTCTCATTATAAAAAATAGTGTTATTACTGATAAGCATCTGAGATTTTGCACCATTTAAGATCGCTGTTTTTCAGCATAACA